GGGCCTCGAATACCCGCTCAGCCCGCCCATGGGGGAGAGCGACCCCTCCAGGCAGGCGCGTCTCCACCTGGAGTTTCCACGCGGACCTCTAACGCGGGCCCCTGCGATCCATCCTCCATAATGCAGCCGGTGGGCCTTTCTTAAACACTTCTGGCCTTTCCATTAATTATTAATTAATTAGAACTAATCGTGCACTAGTAGAGAGCATGGGAGTTACGGTAAGAACCAAGGGTCACTAAACTCAGTGACCAAGCGGTCCCGAGGAGTTTCTCTCTCAGGGCTCTTTTGCAAATACAGGAGCTGCTCACCGGGAGGATATGGCCTAGCGGCCTGAGCGGGCGCCAGGTGGGATTCTGTCTCCCACGCTGAGGGCCACATGCCTTTTCCAGCTACAGAGGCCCGTGGGGCTTGAAGTGTGGGCAACGCAGTGCTGGCATCTGTGGGCTTCGGGGAGGAGGCGGGAGGTGGACGAGACGGTCCTGCCCGCCCCGGGGAGAGAGTGTACTCTTGTTGCATCACTGAGCATGACCTCTGGTGTCACAGTCCCCGTCACCACGGAACCTGCTGAGAACGTCACTGCCTTCTCGAGCCTGCGTCTGCGGTGAGGATGTTCTACAACTGAAGCGTAGCTTCCACTGTGGACCTTTCATATTAACCATTTTGGATGGAAACCTTAAAAGATAGATGTTGCCTTTCCTGGCTTTCTTAAAAACAGGATCCTGAGCAGTGCTTAAACTCCGGAAGGTGACCCATCATTCACTTCTGCGCAGGGCTGTGATTTGCTGATGCCCTTCGGTCTGTTCAGGTGGATATAGCTCTTTGCTCCTGCACCCAATAGCCCTAAACCCCCAGGCCTTTGGAATTCATCAGTCTGATTCTTATGTTTATTCTTTTACTTCTCCCTAGTGTTTTCACTGTGAAACATATAAACATATTTTACCATAAAATAGGCAATTGCTTCAAGCTACCTTCTTACATATTCCATCCGAACTGCTTCTAATGTTCTTGCACTGGGAAATGAAATGATTAACCTTGCACGAATTGTGTGTGAAGTAAGCGTCAGTAGGCTTAGAGTGAGGAAGGCCTGGGGAGCTCTCCTCTGAGTTAAGCGATTGAACTCCGTGATATTTTTGACTGTTCGGAAGCCTTATGTGTTTTCTTGTAGGTCTTCAATTTGGTGTAGCCTAGACAACTTGACCTCCATAGAGAGGGTGAGAGCATGTAAATCTGTGTATAAGGTCTTTGCCAAGGGCAATAAGTCAGAAGGAAATAATATCTGTGCTAAGATAATTTTAGTTCAAAGATGGTCAAACATACATGTATACCTACCCACTCACGTGCACGCACACACGCACACGCACAGCAATGAAAGATGAAGCCACAAAACAGACTCATCCAGTTTTTCACTTTTATATCTCCATTTTCCAAAAAGTTGTCCGGGAACAAATAATTAGAATCATAACACTTTCAAATGGGAAAGAACTTTCAAGGTCCTTTAGTTTTGCTCCCTATTTTAGTTCAGGAATCTTTTCTATTGCCTCCTGGACAGATGGGCACATTGTCCCCTTCTTGCAAGGACCGGTCATGGGAGCTCAGTGCTTTTTGAAGTCTGATTTCATTAATGGAAAGCTCTGACGGGAAGTAACAGAGCTACGCTCTGCCACATCTGATCTGCATTTCGTGTGCAGATATTAGGTTTCCTGTGTTTTCACGTGGCTGTCCTTGGGGAGAAGAGGGCACCTGTGTGAATGGGGAGACAGATTTTTCCTATAATGGGTGGACATTGCTGGTGTCAATCATCTTGGAAACAGCTGGGGCCTGACATAGAAACTGAAAAGACTAATTTATTCTGGCTGAAGAGGGGACGTCTGTTTCTCTTGGCATTATTTCTAGGGCTTGAACTTGAGACATCTTGGAGTTTTGAGAGTCTGCTTGGGTGGGAGCAGGGCTGATGGACATCGTCCCAGGGAAGAAGGCAGGCAAGCACCTTGTAGAGCAGCAGTCCCCAACCTTTCTGGCATCAGGGATGGGTTTCATGGAAGACGATTTTTCCATGGACATAGGGCGGGGTGGGGGGTTGGTGGGAGCGGGGAGCTCAGGCGGTGATGCAGCAACAGGGAGCAGCTGTAAATACAGATGAAGCTTCATTAGCTCACCTCCTGCTGTGCAGCCCAGATCCTGACAGGCCACAGACCAGTATTGGCCTGGGGATGGGGGACTGCTGTTGTAGAGAACATAAAGGGAAGATAAGTGAGCCAATCTTGAAAGCTATATGACCTGGATTCACATTATACTCTGTGTTTATTTCCCCCATCCCTGAGCCTTTGGAAATGCGTAGTTTAAATGTTTCAGCCTGGCCCAGCTGTCCGTGCAATGGCACTAAAGGAATTGCTGAGGGTCAGTGTCGATTTCCCTAGAACGTTAGAGAGGGAACGGTGCTCTCTGAGCCACTGTGGGTTTTGGTGATTATGAGAGACTCTTAAAAGAAATGTGAATATTGGGGAAGAAGAGCTGGGACCAAGAGGTCCACTCACTCTTCTCTACATGGTGACGCATTGATCACTGCCATACTTTTATTAAATAGGCTGCCAGATTTCCTACAAAAGTAATCCCTGAAATTGGCCTGAAATCTCTCTTCCTGCAACTTTCACCCACAGGATTTAGTCCCTTCTCTCAAAAGCACAGAGAACAACTCATAACTGTTCACATTCATTGAGTGTGTACTATGTGCTGGGCACTTTACTGAGCATTGTACTGTATCTTATTTATATTATTATCCCATTTTACAGATGAAGAAATGAGGCTGAGGGAGGTAAAAATAACTTTCCCAAGGCCAGACCCCTAATAAGTGGCAGGATTTGAAACTCAGACAGTCTGATGTCAGAGCCCACAGTCTTTTTTTTTTGAGACAAGTCTCGCTCTGTTGCCCGGACTAGAGTGCCGTGGCGTCATCCTAGCTCACAGCAACCTCGAACTCCTGGGCTTGAGCAATCCTTCTGCCTCAGCCTCTCAAGCAGCTGGGACTACAGGCATGTACGACCATGCCCGGCTAATTTTTTCTATATTTATTTTTAGTTGTCCAGCTAATTTTTTTGTATTTTTACTAGAGATGGGGTCTCACTCTTGTTCAGGCTGGTCTCAAACTCCTGACCTCAAGTGATCCTCCCGCCTCGGCCTCCCAGAGTGCTAGGATTACAGGCGTGAGCCACCGTGCTCGGCCCAGAGCCCACAGTCTTAAACCCTGAAATACTGCCTGTCTTGTCCCTGTGACAGCCCCAGAGAGATCTGCAGCCTGGGATCTTGGTCCAGGCAGAATCGCCACCCCATCTCCCTGCCGTTTCCCTTTGTGCATGGAGTAGGGGGAAGGCAGCCCTGCCCAGTTCCTCCTGACCAAGGTCTGGGACAATGGAAAGAATGCAAAGCCCAAGTCCCTCTGACCCCTGGTGACTTGTCCCACTTTGACCCCCAGGAGAGCCTCAGCAGAAGACTCTGGAAGCACCATTTTAGCAGCCTTCCCCTCGGGAGGCTGTATTTTTCCTGTCCTCAACATTTCTTCTGCCAGAACAACAGGCTCAGTTTTCCCTTCTGATAAATCCGGTCACCCTAAATATGGGGCTTTGAGCAAACAGGAGCGGCTGGCCCCACGCAGCCCTCATTTCGAAATGCAGCTCCACACCGGCTGCTATTTTGGAGGTCTGGTTTCTTTCCCCACACATAGTGGTTTTAAGTAAGAGGGAAGGGATCATGACAGAATCTTGGCAGGGGAAAGATGCTAGGAGAGAAGATGCACCTGGGCAGTCTTTGTCCCCCAAAGTTCCTAAACCCTGGCTCTGCAAGAAGCTCTGGGGAAAAGAGGATCTTTGGTCACATAACATTGGGAAAAATGCACCTTAACCAACCCCCTCCTGGAGATCGGCAGTGTGCATGTTAAACATTTGAAGTCCTAGCAGTAAAGAAGTCTAACTGGTTTTGTTTAGCCCAGTTTTTCCATTTAAAAATGTAGCCTAGTAAAATTTTGGAAAACAGTAGTGCAGAGTGGAGGTTGCAAACCAACACCAGTGGCCTAATAAAGTCCTCGGATAGGTTTGATGTGGTCTACAAAGTGCTTAAGTTTTGCTTTAAATTAGTGACTAACATTTAAAAATTGGAATATTTCTCATAATAACCTGAATCTGGGTGCTCCTCTTGAAAAATCGGAAGATCCGGAAACACGGGTCCACATTCTTGCATGACTACGGTCAGCTGGAAACAAGGCTGTGATCTTTCGCCCGCAATAGCCCCCGAGCCTCCCTAGGGCCATGCAGCGGCACCCTGCCTTGCTCATTTATGATGCTTGCCTTCTCTGGTGCGGAGGTTTCCTTGGGTGGGAGTTGGCGGGAGTGACCCTCAAGGCCCATTCATCCATCCACTCATGCAAGGGATACTGATTGAGCTCGTGTGTGTGCCGGGCCCTACAGATGCAAGATGAACAGAACAGCCCCTGCCCTCTGGATTCCAGCGCGGGCATTCGAAGATTCTAGTTGAGAATCGCAGAGTGAGGAAGAGGGAGGGGTTGAGGAGAGGGGAGTTGGCAAAGCCAGAGGCTAGTTTCCTGATTCCCAGCGCCTGGCGCTGGCCAAAGTGCTTGCCATTCTCCACTGCTGTCTCTGCTGGCTCACAGAAGGGAGCTGCCACTGAAACAGCCTCTGTGAGCCCAGGGAAGAAGCCACTAACTTGCTCTGCGACTTAGATGAGTTCCCGGCTCATCTCAGGGCCTCAGTTTCTCCATCTGTGGAATGACCCGGTTCGACTAGAAAATTACGCGCGTAGCTTCCAGGGCTGGCACTCACAGATGCTAAGACTCCATGATCTAGGAATGTCTGACCCGGCCGCTCCGGAGCTGTTCCATCGAATTCCAAGCAGCCCCCCTCCGTCCTTTCCCCAGTCCCGGCGGGGCGGGCGCTGGAGCCAGAGGGCCGAGAGGGCCTGGGCTTCCCGCCCGGGGGCGGAGCCGCTGCCGCGCGTCCCGCCCCTCCACCTGGGGCTCGGCCCCGGCAGATGTTACAACTTTTTCGAATTCTCTCCCGCGGTGTCTCCTCAGACCCGCCCAACCCGTGCCTCCCTCCCCTTCCCCTCTGGGGTCCTGCCCACCGCCCCGCGGGGAGCCCGACTGTTCTCGGACTCCAGGCGGGGCGAGAGGCCGGGCCGGGGGCTGGAGGGTAGGGGGGAGGAGAAAAGGAAAGCAGAGGCGAGAGAAATTAGGAGGCGGGAGAAATCCAGGGCAAGAAGGAAGAGGAGAGTCAGAGGATGGTGGGGAGCACGTTTTGGAAGCCGCCACGCCGCGTCTCCGGCTGTCCGGGCTGAGCTGGGGGAGAGGGGGCGAGGGCGGCGCAGGGCGGGCGCGCAGGTAGCGGGAGGCCGCTCCGCGCGGGCCTGACCTCCCCAGAGCGCCCCGCTGCGGCCGCGCACGTCCGGCCCCGCCGTCCGGCCGCCGGTCCCGGACCAGACTCTGGGCCGCCCCCGGGAGCGCTGAGCACTCTCGCAGCATCCAGGCGGGCGGGCGGGCCGTGCGCCCTGGGCGCGCGAGGTGGTGAGGCCCCGGGAGCCCTGCGCGCCGGGACGCGCGGGCCGGCTTGGCGATGCACGCCCTCAGCGGCTTCTCTCTGGTCAGCCTGCTCAGCTTCGGCTACCTGTCCTGGGACTGGGCCAAGCCGAGCCTCGTGGCCGACGGGCCCGGGGAGGCCGGCGAGCAGCCCTCGGCCCCTCCACCCCAGCCTCCCCACATCATCTTCATCCTCACCGACGACCAGGGCTACCACGACGTGGGCTACCATGGTTCGGATATCGAGACCCCTACGCTGGACCGGCTGGCGGCCGAGGGTGTCAAGTTGGAGAATTATTACATCCAGCCCATCTGCACGCCTTCGCGGAGCCAGCTCCTCACTGGCAGGTAGGCATGGCCCAGGCCCTGGGGCTGGGCATCCAAGCCCCAGATAAATCCAGTGATAGATTTCCCCTGCCAGTACAACCCCATGCTGGGACCCGGGAAACCAGGGCTCAGGGCTAGTTTTGCCTTCAGTTGGCTGTGTGATCATTACTAAGTCCCTTGCCCTCTCTGGGCCTCAATTCCACTACCCTTGCACTGAATGGGTTCCATCATCTTTGAGGTCTTCTCACTGTGATGTTCCAGGACTCACATTCCACACAATGTGGAGGAGACATCTGGTCATCCCTTTGTTAGAGGGACCTGGCAGTCTCTGACACTTACTTTGAATGCTGCTTCTGTTTACAGACCCTGAGACCCAGAGCAAAGGGCCTCATTTGCTGAGAAGTCATTTAACTTCTCTAAGCCTCAGTTTTCTTGCTTCCGTAAAATGGAGCAAAGAACAGATTTCGTCTTGAAAAAGTGGTGAAGGTGAAATGAGTTGTGTGTAACCTCCTTGGCTGTCAATAAATGGCAGCCCCTATGTCACCAGAGGGCTTCAGATCCCCACTCTGTTTGATGACTACATTGGGAGAAAACCAAGGAGTTGATAGGTGGAAGAGAAACACACACATAGGAGGCCATGGCCTGTGTAGCCTTAGGCTGGTTACTTCATTTCTCTGAGCCTCTGCTCTTTCATCCAAAAGATCCTCCCAAGTTGGCTGGGAGCCCCAAAGAGACGTGCTGCTTTCTCTGTAAGGGGTTGTCTACAGTCGAGGCAGCAGGATTACAGGATTAAAAGAGCAGGGAAACAGGAGGTGGGGGTGTGGAAGGCAAACTCTGGCCACTTAGGAGAAAATCCTTTTGGCAGGGCTGAAGCTAATCCTCCCTGGATGGGGTCCAAGGCATGCTTTCTCCCAAGTTCCACCCAATAGCTGCTCGTGTGATCTCAGGAACCAGAACCTTAATCTCCCTGTTTCCTGGATGGGAGAAACTGAGGCATGGACTCAGGGAGGGACCAGCTAGGGGCCTGTGCCCAACTTCAGGGTCTAGAGGGGGCTCAGAGGCCAGGTGCTTGACAGGGATCCTGGAGCTGGGCATCAAATGGTGCCCTTCTTTCCTTCAATCTGGCACTCAAGAGTCTGGCATGCAATATTTAGATCCAGGAACTAGAAAGAGAACAGGAGAAAGAGGGAGGGGGTGGGGTGTGTTGGTGTTGTGGGGTGAAGACCAAACTTCTGCTTGCAGAGGGAGGAGGCATCTGCATTCCTGATAGTTGTGCACAAGTTAGCGTTTCTCTCCTGAGAGGTGCCTTTTGCTTTTAGCAGAGGAATGAACAGACAGCAGGGCAGCACTCCAGCCCCCATCTGCGAAGTTAGCAGAGTGTGGCCGGCCAGAGTGTGCCCTCCACCCCCTGCAGCTGGGCCCATAGACCGATGCTTACTGCTCTCATTAGTGTTTGTTAACTGTCCAGTGGTGGTGTGTGGGGAAGCTGGAGAGAGCCAGAGTGCGCCGCGTTACTCACGTGCAGCGGGGCTCCGTGACTCTCAGCTGGCCCACCCAGTGCTCCAAACCAGTGCTCCCCAGGGCCCCACCTGTAAGAAGAGAGGCTCAGGGGGGACTCAGGGCCTTGGGGTGCTTCTCCTGTCCACTCCAAACATTTATTAGCTTGACTGAAGCCTGGAAAGGCCATGTCACTGAAAGATTTTAAGTGTGAATTGAGTTCACCAGGGTTCAAAGCTCCGCTCCGCTGCTTGTCAGCTGTCTGACCTTGGGCCAGTTGCTGCGCTTTTGGGAGCCTCAGTTTCATCATCCGTAGAATGGGGGTAATAATAGTCTTCCCTGTAGATTTTTAAAATGAAGATTAAATGAGATTTAAAATGTGTGTGTGACACATAGTGTTAAAAATGGCAGCAGTAGCTAATACAGCTAACAACAATGACAACTTTAAGATAAGGAAACCAAAACAGAGAAACCCACTCCAGCATTTTCAGGTTAAAGTTGTCGAGTTTTCAGGTCTTAGTTCAACTGGGATGCCTGGGTGGTGAGAAAAAGGTGTGGAATTCTAACACACTTGTGAAGTTCCAGGCTTCTTATTTACTCTGGGATTTTTAAGAGTTGCGTAAAGGCAAGACACCAGAAGCAGATCACATGGGAGCTTTGACCACAGCAGCGGGAAGATGGGATATGAATGAGTAAGTGAGGAATTCAGGATTCTGCTGACTGGTTGGTTAGTCCTGCCCCAGGGCATTAGCTTGTGTGAGTGACCTGGATTAAGGGGCACACGAGCTTACGGGCAGGCACGTGGGAGCTGGTCTCCAAAAATTTGGGAGCTGGACAAGCCTTAGAGATTTCCCATTTCAACCAGCTCACTCCGACACACGAGCAAACTGAGGCCTCCATGTGGGAAGAGACAGCCTAGTTCGCTGAAGAAGAGTCCCTGCTTGGACTCTGCTCGGACTTATGTTCAAGTCCTGGCTCTGCTCCTGACCACTGAGTCACCTTGGGCAAAGCCCTTCGCTGCCCCTTAAAAACGCCTTAGCTGCTATTTAAGATGAGGTAGATAAACTAGAAGATGATTTGGGTCCCCTCTGGCTCTAAGTCCCTCTGAGTATCATTCGTCATTCATTCATTCATTCATTCATTCATTCATTCATTCCATAAGTAATTGAATGTCCTTTACACATCACTTGCGTGCTAGGTATACAAGGTTGGGTAAAGGACAGTCCCATCATATATCACTGGGCCTAAGAGCACGTACAACTGAGTATAATCCCATGGCCAACTAGGGCAATGACGGTGTGTACTAAACGCTGGGGGAACCCAGAAGCAAAAGTGACTCATTCTGTGGGAGAGTTGTGACAGACTTTACAGCGGGGTAACATTTAGGCTGGGCTTTGAAGAGCGAGTAAGAGTTTGCCTCAGGGAGCAGGACTTGCTCTAGGCCCCATAGCAAGTGAGTGGCTTAGAGTTTAGGGACTCCGAAGTCTGGAGCCGCACTGCCTGGGCTGTATATCCCACTCCAACTGCTAGCCATGTGAATCACTGGGCAAGTAATTTAATTGGCTAAGCCTCAGTTTCCTTATTTGGGAAATAGGAATAACAACATGTACCTCCTAGTTTGTGGTGAGGATTTAGTGAGATAATCCACATAAGGGGTTTAGCACAGTGCCAAGCATACAGCGCGTGCTTTGTGGTAGGTACTATTGTTGTCATTATTGACCTGGCTTCAACTCATAACTCCCCAACTTCCTAGCTGTGTGATCTTGGGCAAGTGGCTTAACCATTCTGAGCTTCAGTCTCCTCATCTGTAAAATGACAGTAATCTCTAACTTCAGCTGATTTTGAGGATTCCATGAGTTAATGCATTTGAGGTACTTAGCACATTAGATAATACCTGCTATTAATAGTAATACTGTTACCATTGTTGCTGGTAGTGCTGGGATGGGGCCCACCCCCGAATGGTGCTGGGGGTTGGGTGACCAGAGCAGTGGTCTGCAGCTAACCTGTGCCTTCTATGCCCCCTCCCCCGCACCAGGTACCAGATCCACACAGGGCTCCAGCATTCCATCATCCGCCCACGGCAGCCCAACTGCCTGCCCCTGGACCAGGTGACACTGCCCCAGAAGCTGCAGGAGGCAGGTTACTCCACCCACATGGTGGGCAAGTGGCACCTGGGCTTCTACCGGAAGGAGTGTTTACCCACCCGCCGGGGCTTTGACACCTTCCTGGGCTCGCTCACGGGCAACGTGGACTACTACACCTATGACAACTGCGATGGCCCGGGGGTGTGCGGCTTTGACCTGCACGAGGGCGAGAGCGTGGCCTGGGGGCTCAGCGGCCAGTACTCTACTATGCTCTATGCCCAGCGCGCCAGCCACATCCTGGCCAGCCACAGCCCCCAGCGGCCCCTCTTCCTCTATGTGGCCTTCCAGGCAGTGCACACACCCCTGCAGTCCCCCCGTGAGTACCTGTACCGCTACCGCACCATGGGCAACGTGGCCCGGCGGAAGTACGCAGCCATGGTGACCTGCATGGATGAGGCTGTGCACAACATCACCGGGGCCCTCAAGCGCTATGGCTTCTACAACAACAGCGTCATCATCTTCTCCAGTGATAATGGCGGCCAGACTTTCTCGGGGGGCAGCAACTGGCCGCTCCGAGGACGCAAGGGTACCTACTGGGAAGGCGGCGTGCGGGGCCTGGGCTTCGTGCATAGCCCCCTGCTCAAGCGAAAGCGACGGACAAGCCGGGCCCTGGTGCACATCACTGACTGGTACCCGACCCTGGTGGGTCTGGCAGGTGGCACCGCCTCAGCAGCCGACGGGCTAGATGGCTATGACGTATGGCCAGCCATCAGCGAGGGCCGCGCCTCGCCGCGCACGGAGATCCTGCACAACATCGACCCACTCTACAACCACGCCCGGCACGGCTCCCTGGAGGGCGGCTTCGGCATCTGGAACACCGCCGTGCAGGCCGCCATCCGCGTGGGCGAGTGGAAGCTGCTGACGGGAGACCCCGGCTATGGCGATTGGATCCCGCCACAGACTCTGGCCGCCTTCCCTGGCAGCTGGTGGAACCTGGAGCGAATGGCCAGTGTCCGCCAGGCCGTATGGCTCTTCAACATCAGTGCTGACCCTTACGAACGGGAGGACCTGGCCGGCCAGCGGCCTGATGTGGTCCGTACCCTGCTGGCCCGCCTGGCCGACTATAACCGCACAGCCATCCCCGTGCGCTACCCAGCTGAGAACCCCCGGGCCCATCCTGACTTTAATGGGGGTGCTTGGGGACCCTGGGCCAGCGATGAAGAAGAAGAAGAAGAGGAAGAAGGGGAAGGCAGGGCTCGAAGCTTCTCCCGGGGTCGCCGCAAGAAAAAATGCAAGATCTGCAAGCTTCGATCCTTTTTCCGTAAACTCAACACCAGGCTGATGTCCCATCGGATCTGATGGGGGGCAGAGCGGGGATCTCTGTTCCCCACGTGTTTTTCCCCACTCAGGCCCTGCCCCTTCTCAGGGAGAAGGCTGAGGTCCAGTGTCCGTCTGCAGGGACAGGGAGGGCATAGAGCCCCTCGGTTGAACGGGATGGGGAACTTGGTTGGGGGCGGTGGGAGTGAACCAGGCTGGGATACCTGGATCTCAGTCCTGCCTCTTCACTGACTTAATCTGTGACCTCAGGTGACCTGCACTAGCTTAAGCTCAGTTTCTTCATCTGTAAAAAGACCTCTGATGACTTTGTGACTCTGCGGTGTGCACCTGGAGCCTGGGGAGAGGGTGGGCTTCCTGGCCGACCTCACCCTTAACTCTGGATCTCTGTGGTGCTGTTTGGGTGAGGGGCCACAGGCAGGCAGCTCCAGGCCGGACCCCAGCTGAAGCGTGACAGTCTGGCTGCTCCAGGAAGGGATCCCCTGAGTGCTGAGGGTGGAGGTGTGGGGGTCGGGGTTGACCTCCCTGGGTCTTCACATGGCCTAGGCCAGACTGGTATTGGGGTGCTGGTGCAAAGGTTTTCTTCCTGCCCCCGCCACCCAGCACCCAGAGCCATTGGCTTGGCCCTTGGCTGCTGCAGTATCAAGGGTGGTGGAAACAGCTGTGAGAAGAGCCACCAAAGCAATACTCAGGACACCTGGGTTCTCCTTTGAGCTCGGGCACAGTCCTTCTCCTCTGGGCCTTGATTTCCCCACCTGCAAGTGGGGCCGCTGGCCCTGGCTCTGCCTCCCGCAGGGGGCTGTGGAAGACTGGCTGAGGCGGGGGTTGTGGAGGAGCCCGTGAACGCGATTAAAGTGCCGTGACCCGGAAGTGATGGTTGCAGCGCCGTCCGTGAGCATGCGTGGGTGCGTGCATGTGCGTGCTGGGGGCAGGCGTGAGCCCACGGTTGGCGAGTGAACAGCAGAGGAGGTGGACAGCCCAGCTAGGAGGCAGAACACACGGACTCCTGCTGTAGACCCACTGTGCGGCCCCAGGCAACTCCCTGAGCCTCTCTGCGCCCCAGCGTCCGCTGTGCACAGCGATGGTCCAAGAGCCCTCCCCATTCGGCCATTCTGGGTGCCCCGTGTGTGTGTCCGGGGGGCACGGGCCGAGCGGCGCGGCGCAGGGCGTGGGGGCTGCAGAGCCTGCTCGCTGCAGAGCGCGCCTCCATCCGCACACTGCGTTCTGCATATCTCCCTTCAGGTTCCAGTCGGCGCAGTGTGTGTAGGCGAAAGCCCTGCTGTGAATTTTGAAAATAGTTATTTTTGTCTCTGGCAAAGGAGGCCTGTTAGGACTCGTCAGCTTGTGGATGAGCAGGATGGGTGGGGTGGGGTGGGTGGGGGGTTCGGGCACTGGCTACAGAGCTGCGTCCCCACTGCAGAGGGGGCCAAGTCCAGCAGTGGGGGTCTGGCCTGGGGCTGCTGGGTGGAGGTGACCACCTATGTCCCACCTCACCCCTTCCCCTGCCTCTGTGACGCTAATGCCCGGCTGTGGTGGGGCAGGGGCTGGGACTGGCAGAGGCCTTTGATTCTGGCGACCTTCAGCCTTTCACCTGTTCAGGAGGGAGGCTCTGAAGAAGTCACCTGTTAGGACAGCGTACTGGGCCCGGCGTATCCTAGAGGATGAGTTGTCCATAGTCTGCCCATTACTCAGGGTACTCCAGCTCTGTTGGGTGCTTGTCCCAGCTGTGTGGGCTGGGCCTTTCCAGAGTGGCACGGAGCCAGGGCTTCCCTGTGGCTCCGGGCTTGCACGCGTTGTGAGGAGGCCTCTCCTGTGCCGGCTGAGTCAGCCCTGTCCGAGGCCCACCCTCCAGCTCCAGCCCCTGCTTCTCTGCCTGCAGCCCCTGCCCTTCGTGGCCACAAGTACAGGACCACAGATGGCCCTTTCTGCTGTCCCCTAGGCCCCAAGGCCTACTCTCTGTGGCCGACCTGGCCCCAAACCAAGAGAGACCAGCTGGGGAGGGGACTGGTGCTGCTCCTGGTGCTCTGAGAAGGAAGCTCAGCCCAGGTCTCGATCCAGTCTCAACCCCAGCCCAGAGCTTGCCTCGCTCAGAGTCCTGCCCAACCCAGCACCCAGCAAACAGCCCAGGGGCCCCTGCAAGCTTTGGCCTGCAACCTGGTCCAGGCAGAGCTGGCAGCTGGCCCAGGCCTGAGACTGGTGGAGGGTCTCGGCACTGCCATGAGGAGCTCTGCCTGCTGTGGCTTCAGTTCTTCCCAGCAATCAGCATGGCTCCCGCCTGCCCTCCTCTTGTCTCTTGTGGCTTGAGTTCCCTCCAGCCAGGTCACCCGGCTCTGGACCCTTGACCAGGCTGCTGACTGGCATTGCCGGGCAGGTGCTTATACCACTTGAGCCCCTGTGGTGGGAGGAGGGCAGGGAGGACAGACCAGAGGCAGCCCTGGCCCCTCGGGCCATGGGTCTGGGGGAGTGGAGCCCAGAAATGCCTGGCGAGGGTCCCTGTTTCTCCCTTGGCTGGACCAGGCGGCAGCAGTTCTGCTGGCTATAGGGCAGAGAGCCAGGGCAGCCTGTCCAAGCTGGGCCCTGCCTGTGGAGTCCTGGGCCATGATGGCCCTCCCCCAAGGACCAGGAGAGAGCCCCCCACCTGGCTCAAGGGGCAGAGTTCTGGGCCCCATCTTTCTCCGGAGGAACTGGAGGCCCCACTGGCGAAAAGACCTGCGGCAAGCTCTCTCAGGACTCGAACTCGAGTCCTCTAACCGCAGGTCGGGCTGTGCAGCCCTTGGCCCCGCAGCCCTCGTTCTCTGTCCCAGGGCTCTCTGCTACACTCTGCCCTGCAAGGAGTGCCTCCTGTGGGACACCTGGGGGCAGCGCTGCTCCCTGCCCCTGACTTCCCTCCCTCTGAGCGCAGGCCTGGCATTACCGCGATGAGTGAACCCACTGCCCTCCACCCAGACCCTAGACAGGATCGTTTCTCCCTTGGCCCACTTTCCGCTCATTCTGCCCCCTACAGTCGCTGCCCTTAGTGGGACAGGCCCCGTGGGGACCCTAGGGCTGGCACGCTTTCTCTGGTGCCTGCCCAGGCCCTGCAGGACCCTGAGGCACTCGGGCACGTGCGTGTGAGCACGTGTGTGGGCTGCGGAAGGTGGGATTTGAGTCAGCTGTCACAATGCCGCTGGGGCTGCCATCACCCACCCAGGAACCTGGCCCTGGTCTCCTCTCGTCCCTCCCGTCTCCACAGGGTGCTGCCTGTGTTCACGGGCCAAGCCCTATTCTGGCGTGTCAGGGCCATGTTCAGCAACCTCCAGAGCTCCCACCCCTGGCCACCAGCCCACGGCATGCGGGCCTGCTCTTGAGCACCACACGCGTGTTGCAGATGGGCACACGTGCTGGCTCTCATGCCTGCCATGGCCCCGGGGAGTGGGGAGTTTGGCAGGAACAATCCCCCTGATGCAATCATCGGCTCATTCTCTCAGCGCCACAGAGGCACGGCTGGCTCCTCGCTGCCCGCCACCACCGGGCACAGCTGCCAGCCTCGCGGGCACAGGGGAGGCAGTGAATTAGCAGTTGTGCCTTCTCAGCAGAGTGGCAGTTACACTCACGATGGGGGTGCCCATCCAAGGCAGTACCCACAGCCCTGAGCCAGGCTCTGGAAGGTTCAGAGGGGTGTGGGTGCAAGTGTAAGAGAGACTTGCTGAGGAGACCCCTTTCTCTTCTCCTCTTCCTCCCTCCCACTTCTCACCAGCCATCTCTCCTGCAGCCTGGGGCCTGCCCATCCCCTAGTAGCACATGCACCGTCTGGGCCACCAAGGGAGGGAGAGAAGAATGACAGAAGGGGAGGGGGTTAGGAACAAGAAGGGAAGTAAAAAGGAGTGGGAAAGACAAGAACTGGGAGGAAAATATGCAAGGGAGGGAAGACGGCAAGAGAGAATAAGAGAAGAAAGGGAGGTTTAAAGGAGAGATGGAAGTGGGGAGAACAGACAGAGGGGACAGGAGTGGAGTGGGCCTGGGTTGGCCCTGCCCCCTGCAGCCACATAGGCCGCAACCCTGGTCCCCATCAGGGACAGGGAGAGAGACAGGGCGGTCAGGCCAGCACTAAGCCAAGCAGAATACCACCTCCTTTGTTCAGAATGTTAGATTTCCATTAACACAGCCTCACCGCACATTTGATTTTTGTCTCACTGGTTAATTTTTAAAGCCATATTATCATTCTGTTGGCACACGATGAACTGCAGGCCCTTGTGACCTCCGCTCCTTCTAGCCCCAGTCCTTCATTCTACAGACATTGCTGCAAACCAGGCCTGGACAAGGTGATGTCCAAACCATGAGCCGAGCTCCAGGGCGGACTCAGAGAACAGTGCCCCCAAGGACAGGGACTCGCAGATGGCAATGTGTGTTTCCGGGATTCGGGGAGAGGGGTGTGCAGGGAAAGGGCTTTCGAGTGCCTCCACAAGAATTTCCTGTGTACTGAGCGTTTATAGTGTGTCAGCCACCATGCCCATAGCACAGCCTGGAGGTAGGGAATATTGTTCCCCCGATTTTGCAGATGGAGAAACTGAGGCACAAAGAAGTTAGGATACTCATCCAAAATCACACAGCCTGTAGGTCGTGGAGTCACGGTACTAAACAACACTGCCTCTCCTCTCCCCTGGGCCATGGCCGGTGGCCTCAGTGGTCATTGAGGGCTATTCCAGCACTTTCAGTTGTGGAAGCCACCCCCTCCTGGGGACAGGCTAGCGGGTCTGGGGCAGGAGGGTGGCAATGCAGCCCTCCTCCCACCTGCCCACAGATGCCTCTAGCTCGGTGCGGTGTTCTGTGCCCTGCCTGCTGCCCACTGGCTGTGCGGCCCCTGAGCGCAGGCCTCTCCTCTCTGCCTTTGAATTGCAACGTTGGCGGCACGAGCAGGAAGCGTATTGTGCGCACAAACAAAACTGAGTGGTTTTTCCTTTTTCTGAAGGTGGTAATGGTGCAATTAGTGGCGAAGCCATTACCCCCTCCTCCCTGCTCACTTCCTCTCCTTCCCCTCTGCCTCCCTCCCTTCCCCTCCTGGGAAAAGTGGCTGAATGGGAGAGCTCACCCATCATTCTCCCCCACCCCCGCCAACTCCCAGGAAGACAGGCAGAACTGGGGGATGCCCAGATATCTCAAGGGGGCTCCTGGACTTAGGGTGGTGAGTCAGGGATTTGTTGGAGTTGGAGGATACCAACAAGCAGACATGTCCAGGAAATGAGGGGACCAGTAAGGCGATTTGGAGATTCAGAAGGGGTGAGCTAGAATCCCAGAAGGTTTGGATGCCTGGATCATTTATCATGCCCGTGCTCATTGGGGACAGGTGCTGGCATGAGGTCTCAGCCCTGCAAGCTGTGAAATGAGCTAATGCACCCTTTTTCCTGAGTGGAGGGGGGCAGGGATGCACAGGGTCTGAGATTCTAAGTCTAAGCTAGAGTGATGGAGGTGGTCATGGTCCTGCTTTAAAGCTTCCTTTTCTTCCTCTAGAAACTAAAAAGAGGCTTCCTTTTCTTCTTCTAGAAACTAAAAACAGCTCTTAGCCTACTCTATCTTCACAGCCTTCCTCTGCAGGGACAGTTTTGTTCCACTGTTGTATAGAAAAGGAGCTGGAGGCTCAGAGAGGTTTAGTGACTTGCCCAGGGCCACACAGCTAATAAATGTCATTGGAACTTGAACTCAGATCCTTAGTCTTAAACTCCAGTCCTTTTCCGTCTTAACTCCCAGGACTTGGGGTGAGATCTTGTCGGTTTATGTATGGCTGATGACTTGAAGAGTTGAAATTGGCAGGGAAGGTGCCCACAGAATTTGGGAATGCAGATTCCAGGGCAGGGGCATGGTCACTGGCCTTGCCTGGGTAAGCCAGGCCATGCTTGCCTCCCCACAGCCGCCTCTCGCCTCTTTTACCTTGACTTGAAGCACAGGCAGAAACTGGGACATGAGCCCCAGGAGACCAGATCTCCATGGTCCCTCTGGGGGCATGGGGTGGGGGAGAGGTTGCAGAAGAGGGCTCAGGAGGGGAGCAACCATCGCAGCTGGGGGGGGGGTGAGTGGGCAGCCAGGGCCATCCTCCAGAATCCTGGGGTGTCCTCTGCACTTCTCCCCCAAGCTAGAGTGCTAGTGTGGTGGGCAAGGTGGTAGAAGAGCAGAGAGAGCAGGAGCAAAATAAGAAAGACAGAGGCAGAGGCAAAAAAAAGAATACGGAGGGGAACTGAGAGACAGTTACAGACTACAGTGATGCACAGAGAGAGCCATCCCAACAAATTAGCCATCGTTTCCCTGTAAACCTTAGAACCCAGCTGTTGCCAGGGCAACGGGGCAATACCTGTCTCTCCAGAGGAGATGAAGTTGCCAGGGTAACTGCATCCTGTCTTTCCTGGGGACCATCCCGGAATGCGGCACCCACTGGCAGTTACCATGGTAACTGCCTTTTTGCCCCACTTAATCCCATCCCGTCTGCTACAAGGGCCCCACAGTTGGAGGTGGGGGAGGTGGGAAGAGAGAAGATCACTTGTGGACTAAGTTTGTTCTCTTCCCCCTCCCCCACCCCCTCCCTTGGCCCATCACCCTGGGGGTGCTGTGTCCCTCGGCCCCCAGCCCACACAGGCCTGCGGTATTGTGTTCGGCAGGGCCAGGCATCCAGTCCGGGAGCAGGTTTTTGCAGTGGAAGGCAGGCAGGTGTTGGGGAGGCAGTTACCGGGGCAACGGGAACAGGGCGTTTCGGAGGTGGTTGCCATGGGGACCTGGATGCTGACGAAGGCTCGCGAGGCTGTGAGCAGCCACAGTGCCCTGCTCAGAAGCCCCGGGCTCGTCAGTCAAGCCGGTTCTCTGTTTGCACTCGACAGCACGGGCAGGCGAGTGGCCCCTAGTTCCAGGAGCAGAGCAGCAGTGCCTCAGTCCTGGTCCCCCAGCTCCGAGCCTCGCCTGCCCGCCCAGCACCAGGATGGCCACCATCACCTGCACCCGTTTCACAGAAGAGTACCAGCTCTTCGAGGAACTAGGAAAGTGAGTTGCGCCTCAGGGAGTCCTGGAGGGCGCAGGGGGCGTCGTTGTCTTGGCCAGGGGCATGTGCCTGCAGTGCTCTGGAGCATTCTTGTGCATACAGATGAAGGCAGGCTGCACGGGTTTGGGGACACTTGCATGCGCACAGAGTGCCCGGAGTCGGGTGTCGGCATGTTTATGGGTGCACAGATGTGCCAAGCCAACCAGGCCAGTGTGTATGTGTGTGTGTAGGGGTGAAAGGTTGACAGTGTATGCCAGTGCACGTATGGACACACACACACACACACACACACACACACACACACACACACACACACAAATACACACAGCCTGGTTGCACACAGATTCTTAGGAACTCGGAGTTAAAGGGGGATATTCCCAGTCAGCTGGGTCCAAAGCTGGAATCCCTCCTCCAGTTTTGCGTGAGGTTCCATCTGGCCTCCACTTAGCTACCTCTGTGACAGGGAATACACCAGCTCCCAGGTAGTCCTTCCTGACTTTAGACACCTGCAGCAATTGTGCCGAGTGGGCAACTTTTCCCTGTCAGTGCGTCTCCTCCCCCCTCCCCCTTCCCAGCTCCTGCCAGGAGTGAGAGCATCAGTACAGTAGGGGTTAATATCTGAGCGGCTGGTGAGGCTTCCTGGGTGTTGGGAGGAGGGGAGGGGCAATCCGGCAAGCTGGAGGGGGCACCGCTGTATCAGGGGCTGCTGGTACGAAGGTTGCAGCAGCTCTGGTCCTGTGGCAAAGTTGCCCAGCCCAGAGCTAATCATTTCCTGCCTTTGATGACTGCTATGGAAAGGAGGGTGGGAGGATGAGGAGAGATGGGAGAGCCTTGGGGTAGCCCAGGAGGCTGGGGAGTGTCAGGGAAGGGTTTCTGGAGGTCCCCAGCTAGGTCTGTGGAGGATTCTGGGGTGGATCAAGGGTTGGGTGCAGTTTGGAGGCAGAGTTTTCCCTGTGGGCAAAGGAGTGACAATGCCCTGGTGTGTTCCTGTTATAGCAGCAAGAGCGCAGGGGAGAGGGGCTCTGTAAGCAGGTGCGAGTTCTGAACGTGTGTGCACCAGTGTGCATTTGGAGGGGAGGCGATGTATATTGCTGTGTAAGGCCTTCTGAGGGAAATTGTGTTGTATAAGGACTGGCCCTGGGGTGCACTTGTGTGCACCAAGAGAGTGTGCAAATGTTTGTGCGTGTGCACCAGGAAGAGGTGCAAGTGTGCGCTGAAAGGGTGCATGGGTGTGAGTATCCAAGGAGTGCTGTTGGCTGGGTTGCATGGGAGCAAGGGTGTGGACATGCGTCACTGTGTGTGCACACGTATGTCAGGTTAGATCTGTCTGCACATCAGGAGGCACATGTGTGTGAGGCCTGGGGGTGTATAAGGATGCACTTGCGAGACGTGGATGCAGTGGTGTTCCTGTGAGGTCTGGACGTGTACATCTGTGTGAGGACCAGGGTCGTGCACACGGGAGGGGAGGGTGTACGTGTGTGTGTGTGTGTGTGTGAGGCCTGGGCTCACGGACTCGTGTGGGAGCATGGGTGTTGTAGGCATGTGTGAGCTCATGCCGGTGTCTGTATATGCGTGGGAGGTGGGTCTGTGCTGTGTACAAGTAGGCTGCCTGCACACACAGACACTGGCCATCCCGACACCTACAGGCACACTCCAGCTCCCTTGTGCACACGCAGCCACATGCAGATGTGTGTTCACTCTCGTCTGCAGACTTCCTGCCTTTCTGAGTGTGTTTTTGTGCTAGGGGTAGGGGCAGGGACAAAATGTTCAGGGCTGCTCTGGAGAACTGAGGCTGTCCGCCAGACTTGCGCAGGGCCCCCCGTCCAGCTGGTTTCCAGTGTCCACCTGGAACCCAAGAATTCCCTGATTCGCCAGGAGCTGCCTTGCAAGGAGCGACCACAGCTGGGTTCTGGCAGGACTGCGTCACAGAGTACAGTGAAATGGAGTTGAGATGTGACTCAAGTGCTCGAAGTGAAAATAAAAGTGATGGTTTGCCCCAGGAGGAGAGGGATACCACTAAGATTGGGTTTTGTGGGGGCAACTTGGCAGAGGGCTCCTTCGTGAGCCTTCACGAAGAATTTCAGAGGAAAGGGAGCCCTGGCGCGTGGCCATGGCAGGAGAACCGAGAGTGGCAGACGTGGCCAGGCCTTGTCTAATCAATTTCAGACCTCTTCCTTCCAGAACCATCAGTGCTCTTAACCTTTTTTTAGGTCACATATTCCTTCAGGAATCTGATGAAAGGCTAAATCTACATTCCCCAGAAAAATGTGCAAACCTACAAAATGCTGCATGCGGTATCGAGAGCTTGCAGGACATCAGGAAGTCCGTGCCTGGGCCTCAGGTTAAGGACGCTTGTGTCGGAGCAAAGGGGATGGGGTGGCCTGGCTCCACGCTTCTGCTGTCTGTGTAGAAAGGCCGGGGCATGTCACCGAGGAGGCTGGGGCTCCTGGTCTAGACAACAGCTTCGGTTGGAGCAGCCAGCAGGGCGGGGTTGGGGGGGCACAGGCTCCGTCCCTCATCACCCATAGCCCTGTGACATTGGGCAGGTGTCGGTTCCTCTTTCCCCCACCTGTAATCTGGAGAGAAAGAAGGGCCGTGAGGATTCGATGAGATGGTGCCTATGGAGACGCAGCCTCGAACCTGGCACACGGTGGGCCTCCAACGCAGGCTCGCTGCTGGGGCGACAGTTGTCCTCAAAGCCTGGCAGGGCTAAAGATAGGCGATGGGACCTGCTAGGTGTTTGCCTTTTGTCTGGAGTTTGCCCAGTGGGGGAGGGGGCTGGCCAAGCCCCGTCTTCCCTGGGCTGGCGGTGACGCAAGGGCTGCTCTGTGAGGAAGCAAGGAAGACACCTGCAGGGCCCATTCTTCAATCGATGACCCCCGGCCCCTGCCAGGTGGGACACTACAGTCGCCACCCAAAAGCCGAGCCCCCGTTCCAGAGCCCACTTCGATCACTAGCAGGGCGACTGGAAGCGGCAGCTGGGTTGGTCCTCAAACAGAACATGGGAGCCTATGGGCCTCCTGCTGTGGGGCCGTGGGCTGCCCACTGGAGAGGAAGGCCAGTGCCTGGGGAGGGCTTCCTGGCGTCCTGCCCATGGGGTCCGGCTCGGGACGGCAGGCCTTCGAGAAGCCCAGGCGGGGCTGGCTATGGATGCAGGAGGGGCTGCTCCTCTCCAGCCCTGGGGGCAGCCAACTGGGAGGCTGTGGCTGGAGTCAGGGCCCTGAGCAGGGCTTTCTGGAGCCCCTGATGCTACTGCACCGAAGGTCCCACCGAAGCCTATGAATTCAGATGAGGCGAGAACTTGATTCCAGGTCCCCTAGAAGGTTGGGGTGGGGCTGTCTCTTGGGACCCGGAGCTGAGCTCACTCCCTCCTCCTTGGCCCCCAGTCCTCCTCTGTCCCAGGGATGAGGGAAATGAAAGCCCAGACCCCAGGGGCCCAGAAGCTTGCTAGAGGCAGTGACATGAGCTCCAGAGGTCAGGGTGGGTTGGAGTGGCCAGGCCAGAGCTCCTGGTATGTCCAGTTTTCTCTGAAGACCAGAATCTCTGAGAAAGGCAGGGATGCTGGTAGTGGTGGGGGCCAGGGGGTGTGGAAGCACCAGGGGGCCCAGGAAAGGCATCAGGCTCAAGGAAGTGGAGAAGAAGCCTTCTCCAGCCCGTGGCATTGATCCCACCCCCAGGAGAGGTTGGCAAGGCAGAGAACTGCCCTGCAGCCTGTGTGATCACTGGGCTGTACAGAAACAGCCTCCGAAGGAGATTTTACTTGAGAGAGGGAGAAGGAGGGAGGGAGATTGGAGAGAGAGCTCAACCCACTCTTTCTCTCTAGAAACAGGGATCTGAAATTGACTCAAGGCAGTGTTGGGGTGGGGGGAGGGGTCGCAGGGGCTGCGCTTGGCCAGCAGGGTTGACACGGAGCAGAGGGCTGGCTTCTGAGTCCGGAGCCCCTTCTCACCTCCACGGCTTTGCATCGTGAACCGCGCTGGGCTAGGCTGACCCGCGGGTGCCAGTGTGGTCCAGAGGCCGCTCAGGGCCTGGGTCCCGGATGCTCAAGTGCTTCCCTGGAACCCAAGCTCGAACATCCGTAGAACGTGCTCAGCAGCCCCACCTTCCCCCGCAGAACTGATAGGAGCGTGGACAATGTCACGCTGGAGAGAGAGAGCACCTGGGCATCGGTGCACTACTCTGAGGCCTGGTGGTGTGTTTATTCCACCTCTAATACTCTCCCCTATCCACAGCACTCTGGGGCTGGCGACGCATTTCTCCCTCCATGAGCTCATCTCCGAGGGAGGGGCAGGGCTTACTCATCCGTCTTACAGACGAAGAGACTGTGGCTTAAGGAGGTGGAGGGACCTGCTCAGGGGTCTGTGTCCCTGTCTCCCACACCCAGCGTATGGGAGGAAGGTCACAGAGAGGGACCACTCCTGGCGCCGTGTCTGGGGAACATCCTCTCTCTTACCCACTAACGAGGGAAGAAAGCGGTGGCCCTGTGTGTTGGGGGAGGGATTCTGAGCTGTTGCTGATTTTCCAGTCGTGCTTCTGCCTCTAATTTACTGGGCCGCCCTGGCTGAATCACTTGTCCTTTGTGTCCTCAACTTTACCATCTGTAAAATGGGGGTCGTAATACCTCTGTAGATGCCAGAAATGCCCCAGTAGGGTGGCCACTCTCTCTGGAAGGCACACGTGGGAGATTGCGGACCCCCAGAACATCGGAATTGGAGGCACCATGCAGATTGTCTGCTCATTGCGTAGATGGTCCTCGCCTTGGCCTCTGGGAACCGACACCCAGAGAGAAGGGATTTGTCCAAGGCCACAGGGAGAGGCAGGGCCTAGGATAGCGGACCAAATGATGTGCAGGGGACAGAGGCCAAATGATGAAAAACTGGGGGGCAAGATCTCAAGGAGGGGATGGCAGGGACAGGGAAGGGGACAGGCTCTCTCTCCTCTAAGCCATCAGAGCGGCAGGCACGCACATGTTCTGGTGCATGCTGCAGCCCTCCGCCCCCAC